CTTCTCTATATCTATGTTCTCCCTCTCAATGCTCAACTTCTTTCACCCTCTCTTGGTCGAAACTCTATCTTCTCCCTTTGCACATTCGATAAGTGCTTGTACCTCTCCTCCTTGTTCACTTCATTGGTAGAAAAAATGTCCATCCATGTGGCTGACATTTTGCTTGTCGCGCCATCACGTGAGACACTCTTCTTCTCTCACTTGTTTTCCATCACTTGACGGTTCCTCTTTGGCAGGGTAGTATGTACGTTCGCCCCCTATAATTTTCTCCTCTTCGCCATCCAACCAATAAATTCTTGGGAGCTAGAGCCATCGTACTTCTTCATCTTCTTCGTACCACCTTTGCGCTCTTCAATGATGGTTTCCACTTTTGGCCTTCCATTCAATTTCATCCAACAATGACGTTGCGTCTTCTGTGAAGGCATCTGGGATGCCCGACCACTGGGATGCTGGAACGGACTCGGGGTCTACGGGCGGCTTCTTTCTTCTCGCTGCCATGGTGGACGGATTTGTGGCAGTCGCCATACTGGTTGCGCCTAAGTCCATGTCCTCACCGGGCATATCCGTAGCTTCCCTCTCCATAGCTGCCTTCCCGACACTTCCCAGAGCCACTACTTGGCGCGATGATTCCTTCGAGAGATGTTCTCCGCCTTGCAAGAGACGTTGGTCGGGAGCGACAAGGACTTTGATGGGGCAACGTCAATGGCGGCGGGTTGGGACGGGGTCCTCGGCATCGACATCGGACGATGGACGACGACGGTGTGGACGGGAAGCAAGGGTGGAGGGGGCCGATAGCTTGGAAGCGGGAGGAGAACGTCGATTTGGTGGACTTGGTCAATTTGAAGCAAATTTGGGATGGGTACGGCCTGTCGAGTCCGACATGGCGGATGCGTTCGGATATGGGCTGGGTTTGAGGATGGCGAACAGACCAGACGTTTGGTCTAGGTATAGGGTATCCGATTGGGTGGCAATTTCTTGACTGAGCAGTGAGTAGGACGTTTGTCTGGGCATTGGAAGGGGTCCGGTAGTAGATGTTATAACACGACAAAAACTTCCTATTATTTCTATTGAGATTGTTCAGAATGCACTCAAATAACAGAACCTTATCGATATTGTTTTTGAAATATTCATATTTTTGGCGTGCCATACAATCGAAGAAGCATTGTTAGATGGCTAAAAAGTATCCGAACCGGACCATCGATTGGGTGATCCGCGTTGGAGTTGCATGCATGCTCAATTTTTGAAAATAAATAAAGAGAAAAGACAATACCTGAAAAATAAAAATAAAAGACAAAACAAAGTGGACGTGTCTTTGTACAGGGTATACAGCTTGGCCGGAAAGGAATAATCAGAAAGTGATGGAAAACGAAATCGGACATGAGACAGTGTGTGCATGGCCCTCTCTTGTTTTTTCTCTCTCAAGGCGAAACACAAGCGCGCTTTGTCCTTCCTGCCCTGTTTCCTTCTGTTGGTGCGTGAACTACTCTCTGGCTCGGTTTGAAGGCCAACAAGGAAAAAGGCTCCCACCTGCCTATTTTGCCCTTTCGAGCCACGGAGCGCCATTATCCCAGTGATTAATTCATCACGTGACTGTTTAACCACCGGCTCGCTATATATGTAGCACGTGTGCGATTAATCACTAATACTTTCTCCGTTAACTAATACTCCCTCCGCCTTCCGAAAAAGCTTGTCTCAAGCGAAGGAAGTATAAGAGCATACTAATATAAGAGCTTTTAAATCACTGCGATCTAAATGCTTTTATATTAGTTTACGAAGGGAAAGTACTACAGTACTATACTACTGCTATCCTGGTCCACCTGGTGCATAATACTACCAAGTAATTACCACTTAGCTCAAGTCACATGATTAGTTACTATGTTGTTGCCTTATACATGTACTGTAAAAAAGTGCATACGCAGTTCGGTGGATCACTTGCGCGTGAGCTTGATCGATCATGCTACGTGCATGATTCCGTCTACACCGGTAGACCGATTCAACCCACCTGACTATTTTTATATATGTCTATCTACACTTTGGGGAGTGCGGTGGACCTTTCTCTTTCAGGAATCTCCCAAACTTCACACCTCATCAGTGACGATTGCGCGTTGCTCTCAGCTTGGTCCAACTCATCATACTGATTCAGAAACATACTGTCACGACGACAATTCCCAACAGGTTGTGTACAATCTAATATTCCTCCGGTCAGAATCTCCCAACCCTCACACATCATGAATTCAAATTTCAACTAAAACCACGACACTTATCTTGGATTGGAGGAAGTAGTTGTTATACCAACGACTTGGTATGCTCATGAGGTGTTACTTAGTTCGTCGTTGCCACAAAGCAAACAGAAGTTGTTTTGGCTACATGATGAATAAATACTAGTAGTAATGTCCTCCCTCTGTAACAAAATATATCGAAAAATGTCTTATATTTTAAGATTTTGTTTAGAGGTACATCTTATATTTTGATATGTTTTTTTAGGGTAGGTACAACCTACTCGAATCAAGGTGCATCATGGGCCCAAATATATTGGTCATAGGCTTTTCATGACCCAACAAGGGAACTAGTGCTGAAAATAGAAATTCAGTACATTTTTTTATTTTTGTTGGATGCTAAATGAGCCAGACATTTCCAAAGGGCCCAATTTGCCTTTTGTGTAGTCCATCTTGCCATGCCAAATCATATTCGACACTCACTGCATTGAACGGTGGCCCTGACACACACATGGGCGTGCGTAGATGAGACAGCCCATTACCGGTTTTGCTTATTGTTTTGTTTCTTTCTTCACTTTTTTCGTTTAGGTTATGTTTAGCAATTTTTTCTCCTTTCAGTTTTCTCTATTTTTTCATATAAAAATCTATTTGCTTATAGAAAACGCTAAGGGCGCTGCTACGCGTTCGCCGACCGATGTTTACATATTATCCGCTGCCTCGATGGTCGGTGGATGTCCGGGCTAATAGCCGTATTACGTAGTGTCCGTGCCTGGCATGCCCATTCATTACTTCTCACAACAAGCGCTCTATTGCAGAAACAAGACTGTGCCCACTCATTATCATACTTCCCGCCACAAACGCTCTGTTGCGGAAACAAAACCACATGCCCACTTTTACTTCCCGCAACAAACGCTTTGTTGCAGAAACAAGAACCGCATGCCCACTCATTACTTCCCGCAACAAACGCTCTGTTGCATAAATAAGACCGCATGCCCACTCGTTACTTCCCGCAACAGATGCTCTGTTGCAGAAACGCTCTGCTGTAGAAACAAGAGAAGTAGCAGGGAGCACCACCATCGCCACGTCGGCTAGAAAATGGGAGAAGGGATCTCTGAGCCATTCCTTCTTGAGTCATCGCGGCCACCGCCGATCCCGAGCCAATCGTCGACACCACCGCGTTGGATAAGCCCCGATCGCCCAACGCCTTGCGCCGCCGCGTCCACTGCCCTCCCAAATCTAGCCGCTCACACTCCCAGCCACAC